CAAATTATCATCACCAAATCTGCATATTCCAATGGAATGAAAATAAAATGCCCTCTTTTGGTGTAGGTAAACATATTTTTAGTATTGACTATGTCATTTCTTGCAAGATAATCCTCTAATTTTTGTTAAAGCCCAATATCCAATTTATTTGCAACTCAACTGTCATATTTAATGGGGTTCTCATGAAGAATCTTTCCTTATTATTTTTAAATACAGTGTTTTTTTAAAAGATTTTATTTATTTTTAGAGAGAGGGGAAGGGAGGGAGAAAGGGAAAGAAACATCAATGTGTGGTTGCCTCTCATGCACCCCTCACTGGGGACCCAGCCTGCAACCCAGGCATGTGCCCTGACTGGGAATCAAACCGGTGACCCCTTGATTCACAGGCCAGTGCTCAATCCACTGAGCCACACCAGCCATGGCTCTTTCCTCATTATTTTTAAATAACAAACTCAAAGTACATTATTTAGCCTACGCACGCTTTTATTTTGCAAGTGAGATAGCAAGCAGGTCACTGACCCGAGTGGATTTCTAACAAGGAAGAAAGCAGGCTTTATGCCAGCTATTTAAATTAAATTATTCCCTGATATTCCAATTTCAGAAAAATTCCCTTAAAAATAAAAGGTCATCAAATAGATTGAAATCTTTTCTTGTCACGAGAGTGCTGACTGATGACCTAAAAGGCATTCATAACCCTTTTCTCTTACCTTCTACTTCTACAAAGGCTGAAAAACTACAGTGATCCTCCAAGCTTCCTTCCTGCTGGGGGCAGGGGGTGGGGCATATGACTCAGCTCTAACCAATGAGATGTAAGTGGAAATCTCTGGGTGGAGCTTCCAGGAAAGAATGTAAAAAGGACAAGACCTCCTCTGGCATGCCTTACGCCTCACCCTTTTTCTTGAAAGGTGGACACCTAGGGGGGCATTAGATGTTTGGCAACCATCAGAACAAAAGCCCCATGCTGAGGATGATGGAGGAGAAAGCCAGTAAGAGTCAGGCTCCTTGATTACATGCAAACCCTGACTTGCCACACAAGAGAAGTTTCTTTTCTGCTTAAGCCACGTTCATTAGATTTTGCTAATACTTGCAGCTAATGCATTATAGCTATTCAACCTCCACCCTCAACCTTTGTGCAAGTACTACAGATCTAAAGTTTCCCCTCTATTATTGATCTTCACCTATTAGTGGCATAATCAGGTATATTATAGTGCTTTAAAAACTCAAAGGAATATTTAAAATATGGGGGGAATTAAGTTTCTTTCATTCTTCATATTCACTGAAATTAGTGACTGAGTAAATTTCAACGTTTAAAGAACTAATTTAAATCTGCAAGATTATGTTTATAAAAAGACAGTATCCCACCTTATAAAATACTTTAGCATACTTATTTTTTAATGATGCTCTTTTTTCTATCTAAATTTACAATATAACCCAAATTTCCAAATCCCATTCTGCAAAGCTTTATGTACTCTTGAAGAACACTCTAATTCTCCCTACAGTTATTAAATTCAGACATATGTAATTTAATGCCTGAAGACACTTAATTGCTGCTGACATTTTTGACACCAGATGTAATTAGTAGTTAGTTATTTCGCCAAAACTACCTATGGCATACGCTAAGATCTAAAACTATGACAAGATTAAAGTCTTATTAACCTTTGCTATAAAATATTAAACCTGTCTAATATCATCTAATAAGGGAAACTGAAAATGCCAATAGCAATGGCAAGTTATGACTATTTCACACCCAGACAAAACAATGTTTTTTCATGTATTTATGTATTTCAGAACAAATTGTAAAGCTAGTTATTTTATTCCTGAGGAGTTGCTTCAAATTGGCTGAGACGTAACTTAAAAAAAGAGTTAAGGCATGAACGACCACCAAAAAGGGAGAGAATTCCCCCAAAACCACCATTTTGACCATGTCATTCCCGTGTGCAAAATCCTCAGCAGCTCCTCTGTGCTTTCACGCATTCGCTCTGTGGGTCAGCCATCCTCCCTTTCCAGCTTCCCTTCTCCCTGCGTTCCCTCCCGACCAACATTATTTATTCCAAAAGAATTCACATTGCTCAATTTTTCTGTAAGTATGTTCACAACAGTTACTGAATAAAGAAGTTGGAAGCAATTTAAAAGTCAAAGGAACATCTATAAAAAATACCACATAATCATTAAAAGTCATGTTCCTTAAGAGCATGACAATATGCTTATGGCCTATTTAAAAAATTGAGAGTTGTGATTATTTTTAAAAATGATATGAAGAAAAAAAGACTATTCTACAAATACCAGAAGGCACATTACTACTGCTGTAAAACAGGTAGGTAAATACAGTTCAAAAGTACCTATGCATCAGTATACTGAAGACATAATAGAGAAATAGTTTTCCCAAATACTGGCTATAAATAATTAATCACAGAATTGGCTATACTGCCACCAAGAAATAAATGTGCTAGAAACAGTGAAATACCTAAGTTATTAAATATGTCTTTAAAGAATACCATTGTAATTTATTCCTGCAAAAACATTATTGATGTGCTAAATGGATCTTATCTTTAAAAAGACTAGAAGTAACCCCTGGGAGGTTTGGGAATTCCAAGAAGCACTCCTGGAGTTTTATTATTACCAAACCCATAATATTTCCAGTATATGCTTAGTATATACAATAAATCTTAATAAAAATAGGCTGCAGGTTCCTTTATGGCATAGACTTTTATTTTCCTACTTCAGACATAAAATTCTGGGATTTAATTTCCAATGCAAAATTTTGTGGACTTAATAAACTCTGTAGACAACAGTTTGTTAAATACTGTAAACCTTTAATAGTCTACTAGATTTATGCAAATTCCAAGAAGTGTATCATAATTCCAATTAAAATTTATATGCAGAACATTCAGAAAATCCCAACTCAACTTTGGGAAAAAATTAACTAATAACTAGTGACAATTTTTATTGATTTAATAACCCAAAGAATCTAAGTCCAATAAAAACATGTTGAGAATAGAGTAGTTTTTATTTATTATTAATTCTAGCACTTAAAATATTTTAAAAACCTTTAAGAGTCTTACAATTTAGGTGACAGTCTTTTTTGAGATATCAAAAAAGAAACCAGAACGCAAAGTCCTTCGCACACCAAAAGTACAAGGTCTGTCTGGAAAAAGTCCAGCCATTGCTACTATAATGAGAACAGCTTGCATGGCATCGAAGTAACCTGGCAGCCAAGGGGAATGGAATGTACATGTGTGAACAGTGACAACTTCACTGTACTAGTCACTGGGGGCAGTAGATGCCGAGTGAGCAGGTGTATTGTGTGGACTTCGCGTTCAAAATGACTGAGTAAGGAGAGCAAGGAATCTGCATCAAGTTTTGCGTTAAGCTTGAACGTTCTTCTGCGGAAACTATTTGGGCGATTCAGAAGGCTGTGGCTACGGCCACTGGTGATGAGCGGCTTCATCACAGCTACATGTCCGCTTGTGCATCACGTCTCGTGCAGATTTTTTTGGCGAAACATCAAATCACCCAGGTGACTCAGCTCCCCTACAGCCTAGATTTGGCAACCTGAGACTTCTGGCTTTTCCCCAAACTAAAATCACCTCTGAAAAGGAAGAAATTTCAGACTGTCGATGAGATGCAGGAAAATATGACAAGGAAGCTGGATGGTGATTGGGAGAACTGCGTGGAGTCCCAAGGTGTCTGCTTGGAAGGGGGCTGAGGTGTCACTGTCCTGCGTACAATGTTTCTTGTATCTGGTAGAAATAAATGTCTCTATTTTTCATGTTACATGGCTGGATACCTTCTGGACAGATGTCGTATATCCCAAATCCGTCCTCTCCTTTCCATTTCCTTGGCTCCCACCGACAGTAATTCACCCCCTACCTGAAGGCCTCCTAACCGATCTCCCTTTGGGGTTACTCTTGTCCTCCTACAATCCTCTCTTTATACAGGCAAAATGTTTTTTATAAAACGTATACCATATCTTGTCACTCCTTGTCTTGAAACTACCACACCACAAGTAGTAAAATCCAAACCCCTTGCCATGCCCCATATGATGAAACACGACTCTACCTCACATGTCGTGCTTTTGCTTCGCGAGCCTGCCTTCTGTCCCTCGAACACACCTGCTTTGTCTCTGCTGACCCTTTGGCTTGAAAGGTCTTCTACCTCCTCATTCCCCAAACGTTCCCCATGGCTCACTCCTCCTTATGATTCCGGCCTCATCTTCGGCACAAGGTTTCAGGTTTAGTGAATAAAAATAGGGGACGTGCTTACACTAACAAAAATGATTCATTGTTTACCTTAAATTCGAATTTAACTGGGCATCGGCTCCAGGGCCATGGGCTGGCAAGCCTGCTCCAGTGTCGTCTTTTTAGAGAAATTCCTCATCATCACCAGATCTAAAGAGTCTCCTTGTCATAACTTATTACTCCTTTATCAAAAGCCTATTTTCTTCATCATCCTTGTCAATCTCTGGAAATTTCTTTGCTCGCTTCTTTGATTTACTCATTTATTGCTATGTTCTTCCTCCATCCTATGTGTCGGTCCCCTTCCCCATCACAGAAGCCTCACACCAAACCTCTCCCCTGTGTTAGCACCACAAAAACAGGGTCCTTTCCTGTCTTGTATTGTTTCAAACCTGGCATCTACATGTATTTTATGAGTACAAAATAAGCACTCATAAATATCTGTTGAATGAGTGAATGCTCTGAATTTATATGCTTTCTAAGGGTTTAGAATTAGTTCTAATTCCATACCTGTGAAACAATTTCAGAGTTCTGGAAGGAAAATTAGTCAGACTAAGTTTCTTATGCAAGCAAACAATTTGAATGATATAGTTTTATGTGAGTCATTTCATTACTGATATTGTTCTGTAACAGGACAAATAAATAAAAGCTGTTTACAATTATTTGCACATCACCAAAAATAACTAGGAATATAAAAATATTAATAAAAGACATGCTTACAGAATACAAGCTTTAAACAGATATAAAACTATGCAATAAATTTTACCGTCTTAATAGAACTCCTCTGTTTTTCTTCCCAGACACCACTGCTCAACTCAAGTGTGCAGTGAATATTTGCCTCTCTGTCATAGGATCCAAAAATGAGTAACCTGTAGTATCAAAATACAACAAGGAGACTATTATACCAGTTATGTACATTAAAATTTTTCTTTCAGACCATTAAACCATGAAGTAATAAATTATTCGATTACTATTATAACTTTGTAACAGAAAAAAAAATCAAATTCTTGGTACACCCTCTAGTGGAAAAGTGAAGTAAAGCTAAAATTAGGTGAAATTTCAGGACAAGCTGTTTTTCAGCAGCTAAATCACACAGAAAGTAGTATCTATTAATGAAGTAAACAAACTGACCAGGTATCTATACAAGAGCTATAGATCTTCAAATCAGTTTGTTGAATTTAAAAAGTTGTAGAATAATGCCTATAGTACAGTGATTTTCAACAGGTGTGCCACAAGAATTTTTAAAACATGCAATACCTGACTATTTAGTTAGGGGCGCCGACTTCTTTTCCCTAAGATTGTCAAGTAAAAAAATGACAATAGCCAACACAATAGCCGCCTGGTGTGAGTTAGCCAAAATTATACCTATTTTACTTGTTAGATTTGCAAAAAAAAACATATTTTTTGGTGTACCACAGAATTTTAGTAATTAGTTTTTATGTGCCATGAGATTAAAAAGGTTGAAAATTGCTGCTATAGTGTACCATCTCTATAAAAGTTCAACAGATATAAAATAGTACAATATAGTTGCTTATGAATGAACACACACTTGTTAAACAGTGCTTTAACAACCTATTGCCAAAATCATTAAGATTCATAATTATAAAATATTAAGTTGAGAAAAATGGGAATTTTCACTTAGCAGAGCTTTGCTGCCACCATCTGTTTGAAAGAGCAAACTACCTAAGGGCCTACACTCCCATGCAGAGAAGGCTGTGTACCAGCTAGGGCTCCCCAATTCCCAAAAGATATCAACCTTCAGGATTCAGGAACAAGAAAGCACAGTTCTTGGAATCCTGCCCTGAAATCCATAAGTTAGTCTATATTTTTCATATCACCACTTTTATGTTTCTTTAAAAATAATTTTTATCCTTTAAAAAGAATAACGAAATTTAATAAAAAACTTAAAATGAGTCACAGACCTAAATGTAAGAGAAAAACATAAAAGTAAATCTTTGTAACTTTGGATTAGGCAATGGTTTCTTAAGACAGGGCACCAAAAGCACAAACAGCAAAAGAAAAATAGATAAATGAGACTTCACTGAAATTAAAATGTTTGTGTTTCAAAGGATACCATCAAGTAAGTGAAAAGACAATCCACAGAATGGGAGGAAATACTCTCCAATCATGTGGACTTGGGTCCTTGGTTAAGGATCTGAAGTCTCAATAAAGAATGTCCTTTGACGGCCATCGGCCTAGATCTGGGAGGGCTCCAGAGCTCTAGCGTGTGGTGATGGGCGTCAGGCCCCTCTGTGCTAGGAGAGGTCTGGGGCTGGCCGGCCGGGGTACAACCTGTGCACTCAAAACTGAGGTGCTCTGAAGGAGCGGGAATCTACTACCAAGCCTCACACATTGTTCCCATCAGAGAAAAACAACTCCTCCCCAACCACATACCTTCTATTTCTTATATGATATTGAGCTCCATCATAATTGTATGAGACCAACATCACGTATGTGGGCCATTGTTGGTTGAATGTTGTGCAGTATGTGACTGTACAGTACTTGACCACACACCCTCAATCTTGGGTAGTGTAGAGAAGACTGCAAATAAATCCCGAATTCCTTTTAGTACGTATGGTTTCTGAATTTTTATGAACAAATCAATTCTGAAACTATTTGAGATGTACTATAGAACTAAGCAAATGAGTAAGAAGTGCTGAAATATCACCACAGTTCAAGGGACATAAAAAAATGAAACAAGACTGAAGCGAGGCAAGGAACAACCCAATGAACTGGAGCTGGAAGTGTCAGGTGAACTCGCGATTTCTAACTTGTGTCTATGTATGCGTAGATGTGTAAGTGTCTATACACATACGTATTTCACAACTCTGTCCGTTGAAGGGACCTGTGAATATATGAGGTAGTGATGAACAACCCAACACCCAGATCTTAATTTCTAATTTCTAATTTCTAATTCTCTATTAAAAGGAATCAGGGCTCTGGTAAAATAGCTGATTCTAGGATTGAAACAGAGAAGATACAAAATGAACCTGGAAAAGCTTGTTATACCAGAAAGTAATGGAGACCTAAAAAAAGAAAAAGAAAAGAAAGAAAGATGGGATCATGTCACAAGCATGAAGGGGTGCCTAGTGGCCAAATCAGGGATATTCACACACAAAATAATTAAGAATAGTAAAGAATTACAACCATTGAAAAATACAGAAATTCAGGGGTCTGTGCTGATAATAGGTAATTGGGCAATGAGACAGGACTCTTGGTAATAGAATAGAATATCAATTGCTGGAATTTTCTGTACTTGCATTAACATTAAAAAAATTTTTTGAGTGACTTATTTTTGGAAGCCAGTTAAACAAAATAACACTAAAAGCTGCTAAGAAACTACATGCTTTAGAACAGTGTAAGTGTGACTCAGTAAAGAAGTGACCTTAATTAGAATCTTCTATCCATAATTAGGACAGATTATAACCTAAATATACCACTTTGGAGTACAGAGCTCTCACACAAAACATTATAGACTTTGCCTTTACTACTATAATTTTAGTTTGTTTTTTAAAATATAACTGGTTGATAAAGCAAAGCAAAGCAAATGTATCCATTATGCAAATGGTACATAAAATGTCACATAAAGATGATAAATCCCACCTAGAATTTGGTGCCAAATTTCTTTTCCCCTGAAGAACATACTCAGTTTATCAGAAAATGGGAGCTAAATAATCCATTAAGCTTCCTTTGTTGCCAGAAAATTGATCTTCTCGATATGGTTGTTTTTAATCTAATTTATCTTCTATTTAACTGCACATAGGCAGGTTTTCTTTGCAAAATACTTCAAATCCTTTAAGACTATAAATTATAAGTTAAAAATAGTCTTAATAATATGATTGTAACACTAATGTGCAATAATTTAGTTTTCTAATTGCAGCACTACAAATAGAGCAACTGAGTTCATCAGTGACTTAAAAAAATCAACTTCAGTTCAACATAAAAAACAATGCTAGAACCAATTTTTACAAACAAAATTGTGTTTCCATTCCCAAATTTTTTTTTAAAGATTTCATTTATTTCTACAGAGAGGGGAAGGGAGGAAAAAAGAGAGGGAGAGAAACACTGATGTGCAAGAGATCCATCAATTGGTTGCCTCTCACAAGCTCCCAACTGGGGACCTGGACGGCAACCCAGGCACATGCCCTGATTGGGAATCGAATCAGTGACCTTTCCATCTGAAGGCCAGCACTCAGTCTGCTGAGCCACAGCAGACAGGGCCCATCCCCAGACTTTTAACTGGGAAGTTCAAAACTCTATTTTGAATAATTAGGAAAGAACCTCCCTTTACAGTATGAGACTGTCTTAAAGTAATAAAATTCAAATTCCTGTTCTCATGACCAAATATGCAAAAGAGAACAGGTTTGTTTCAAGATTTTTCTTTGTGATAAAAACTATAATGATTACATTAAGGCACAACAGTATTGCAGAAGTAACATTTACTGAAGGCTTACTATGTGGTAGACACTGGTTTAATTACCTATTTCTGACCCCACCTTGCCTGTTTTACAGATGTGTCATTTGCCTAAGAACATACAACGAACAGGAAGGGTACATATATATAGCTAGGATGTCAAGACAGCACTTTCTAATTCAAAAGTCAGTATTATTTCCACTTCGTGTTGCCTCCTGAAGCATACAGTTTTCAGCTGTACACAGCTCCAGTATTTTCAATGAACAGTTTGCTTTCTATGAATACTTCTAATTTTTTCCTCATTGGAGATGTTCACTTTCAAAGCTTTACAACAGGTGAAGTCTGATGAATGAACGAATACATAAACAAATCTCCCTCTCAGCTACCTTGGCCGGTTTGGGGACGGGTGGATGAGCGAGGGACAGGGACTGACAACAGCAGAGTCAATACATGTTGTGCAAAGATGCTCCACAAATGTTTAGAAGTTGCTACGGTTATTTTGGAAAAGGTAACCCAGTAAGTATAATTCTGATGCTTGTGGATCTATAAGAAAATCACTGAAAGTAAAAAAAAGCATCAGTTCAAAATTTCCATTGACACAGGCCACTTGAAAAATGTCCTGAATATCAGTATAACCAGCCCGAATTATAATTACATATTTAGTACTCAGGCTTACCCGAACACATTAGCTCGGCAAGCTTGAATTCAGACTTGTGTAGAGCCATGTTTTATTGTATGTCATTTTGCTATACACTGAAGTTCCTTTTTATAAAATTGACTGTATATTTAGCCTTTGATAAAAGAATTCCTTTTCAACCAGCTTTCTGGCATAATGGCATATAATAATGAGTCACTCCAAGACAACCAACAGCAAAAAATATTTTGCATATTATTAAGATATTCAAAATTAACCTAATTATTAGTAGGGCACAAATATATTAGGTACAAAAATATAACCTTTGTACACAAGCACTTGTTTTTATTACGAGTTGGAAATAAAAATTGAAGTGATAAGTATCGAGTAAGTGGTACAAACAAGTGTCATAAAAACGTAGCACGAGGTCAGTACAGCTGTACTTGGAATGATTAGGAGACACATTAAGGATGTAGCTTTTGAGGTAAACCAAGAAAGGCTGGTTTCAGGGAACAGAAGACAGGGTAGGATCTTCGGTAGAACAAGGGGCTTGGTACCCTCAAGTATCTAAGGCAGGGGATGGTGAGCTCTGGTTGCCTGTAGGCTCAATCCAGCTTACTGCTTTGTTTGTGTATGGCCTGCGGGCTACCAGTGGTCTTTACATTTTTAATTGATTTAAAAAAAAAGTATTTCATGACACACACACTATGTAATTCATTATACAAAGTTTTACGAACACACGGCCACGGCAATAGGTAAATACATCTACCTATTTCCTATCTCTGACTGCTTTCACACTAGAAGGCAGAGTTGAGTGGCTGCAACAGAGACCACGTGAATCATAAAGGCTAAAATATTCACAGTCTGGCCCTTTAGAGAAAGAGGTTGCCAAGTTCTTGCCTTAGAAAGGCCTGTGTGGCTCAAGTACAGTGAGTGAAGGGCTGGGCAGAGAAAGACGCTAGGAAGGTAAGAGGGGCATGCAGGCCCTGGCAGAGACCTGCGTCTATATTCCAAGAGTAACTGGTAAGAAGACGTTAAAGAACATTAAGTAAGAGAGTGACAATTAGATATGCAGTTTGAAAAGCTCATTTTGGTCATTATACAAGTGACTAGCGTTGGGAAACAACACTAGTGTGGATGAAGAAAGGCTCCGTAGTAAATCTAACCGAGGTGACCTCACAGGGGCACGGGGGTAGTTGCGCCTTAGGCCTGGGGAAAGGCTTATCTTTGCCATAAGCAAGCCCTGTCCGTTTTTCTAGTCTACCCGGGAGAGCACGCCTCTGCGTGCCAGAGCAATCCTCTCTTTCAGACCCCTCGGAGGCACAGCCACCCGGAAGGCGCATCCAGTATACAGTATCATCTTTGTAACTATCCTCGGAACAGTGTCTTCTCCCACCTTCGTGCAGTCTTCCTCACATTCCTTCCTTAAGTCCAACTGCATAAAAAAATGCTAAACTGTCACTCTCTGGAACATCTAAGGTCTTTCTTCTGGTATATCGTTAGTTTGGCTCAAATAAACACAGAAACATTCTCTACACGTTTGGACATCCTTATGTCACATAAGTAAAAAGGCTAGTGTAATAAGTAATGCAGACTATGAGCATAAGTTAGACTATGGGGCTGGTAAAGTAAAATAAGGAAGACGGGCAAGATTGCATCTGAGATCCCTTCAGAAAGCTTTACAATTTTAATGAAGTCTGACTTTTCAACTTTCCAGGGTATTTTCAATGATCACAAACAATTCTCAAAACTGTTATGTTATGAACAGCTCTCCTACAGGTAGGAAGTGAGAGATGCCAACAGAGCATCATGCATATGAAAACTTTGGGAATAACTGAAGAATAAATAACCTCCTCTCCCCTCTTAGGAAGCTTTCTAAAGTAGGGTTTATATTTTTTCGCAAGCCGGAAAGGAGTATTTTTATGAAATTTATGATTAAAGAATTTACAGATAATACAATATAAATTAATATAGAGAGGGAATAAATACAAATACTGTACTATTTAAATGCATTTCACTGCACTTGCTTTCCCATAATGTAGTAATGATGAAACAAAGTACATACCTGCTACATTCTAACAATGTAACTCTAAGGCGGCCTTCAGTAAGTGCCCATTGTTGTATATGGATATGTTCTTCTTCATCTTCTTCAAATCCTTGCAAGGTTTGGAATGGAAAAAATGGCTTAAACCTGAAAAAGTAAAAATAAGTCTAAATTTCTGAATAATAAACACCACAGTTTAAAGCATAACAACAAGGCCCGCCTACAGGAAAACAATACAAAACATGTAACACTGCAGGTGCCCAACAAAACCAGTGCTTGCTACATGCCCCATAACTGGGAGCATGCGGTGCCTTCTCTGTGGCCCCCAAGGCCTCCTGGCTTTGTGGCATGCCCTCACTGACAAGGCAGGACACTTAGAACAAAGAAAAAGAAAATCTGTGGCCCCGAAACTTAGGTGGGGCAGGACAGAGATTCTTTCTGGATTGGATGGGAAGAGTTCCTACAACACACGACCACAACTCAGAATGCACTATTCCATGGAAACAAAGCAACTGATCGTGACGAGTCCCCTTGCATACCCACAAGATTCCGTGCGTATTCCTACTGTTAAAAAGAACTGACAGACCCCCAATGGAGTCACTTTGCTAGGCCCCACCCAGACTTAATACCTAACGTTTCAACGGTACTTTCAGCCTCGCCTAGGAGTGGAATTTTAAACCAATCAATCTGCAATTTCCTGGTCAATATTAGTGAGGCGATTTGCCTGATAAGGCCCCCTGCCTCCTTAAGAGGTGTCCCTCTCTGAAATAGTCCACTCTAATCATCCTTGTAACCTTTTGCTGCCTATAAAAACCTTCCATTTTGTACAGCTCCTCAGAGGACCTTCCTGTTTGCGAGAGTGGATACCATAGATTCATGAACAAAGCCAATTGGCTTTTTGGTTTAGTTGGCTGAATGCTGTTCTCTGACAGTACCAACGGGAGGTTTGCCCTCCTCCACAAAGCCTCCCCAGACCCGGCACTCTCTCCGAGCGGGCTCCGGGCCCTAGGCCGCAGCCGGCCACGGCCCCGCGCCCACTTCGGCGTCCCGCGGTCCCCTATCGCGGTGCGCTCATGCCTTGAAATCGCAAATGTGACCTGGTCTCACAACTCTCTGTGTCCCTCACACACCCACACTCAGGACTCAAGTATTTGCTGAGCTGATTAATAAAATCCAACACTGAACATGAAATAAACATTTAGAAAATATTAACAGCCCCTACAATTTATCCTGAAATACTGTATATTGACAGAGGAGGAGAAATACTGTTTTATGGTTTCCCAAAGAAGAGGATTAAAGGGAAAACTTTTTAGGGAAAGATAAATAGGTATATAGGCAATGCTCAGTGCTCGTCTTCCGCTTCTGAACTAGATGAAAAACAGAGAGCCCGTTCAGTGTCTTAATTTGTATTTGAAAGTCATATGACTCAGAAAGGCTGGCATCGAATTTTTGAAAGGAAAGAAATTAGGAATTAAATCTATCATGTTAATGTAACACTGTAGCTGAGAGCTTCTAACACATAAGCCTCATGGCTCCTGAAGAACACATCATCTTGTCACTCTGTAAAAAATTTAGAATGTCACTATATACACTAGCAACTTTGAATGAAATAATCCAAGTTTGCTAAAGCACAGCTGCATTATGAATCAAATTTTCTTATCAGGTATAAAGTTAAAATTCAATAAAATTTCTCACAGGTATGTGACTTCAATGTTATAGGGAGTAGAGTCTAATTTGGGCTTACTAATGCTTCTGGGGGGATTTGCTAAAAGTGTTTTTAAAATCAGAATATATTCCATTTTAAAATAGCACACTAAAGAGTGGGATAACGCTATTTGTTCAGCAAGCAAGTAAAGAAAATCCACACATTCACACTCTCTAAGAACACTTGGTTTTCAAAACTTTAAGTCCAGACCTTTAAGTATCCCACCCCGTAAAGGAATCCAAACAATGAAGCGGGCCACCTCTATATCTTCACATCCTAACACATTATCCCTCTGTACAATTTCTTAGCTTTATTTCCTGTTTACTTCAGAATTTAAAAATGTCACTGTTTTCTCACTCAAATTACCAGAAAACTTGACTTCTTTAACAAGCTATCTATGCTTCCTCCTATAGAAAACTTAAAAAACCAACCCAGGAAGATCGACTTCTAAGGCAGCAGAATGAGGAGCTCCAATGACTCACTCCCCAGTGAAAATGATGAAAGTTATTAAAACAAAAACAGAAGCAAAAACATTTAAAGCCTCTGAAACAGTCCTAATGGCACACCATACATGAAGAAACTTCTCCTCAAGAAAATGCACAAAGGTTTGGTGAGAAGGGTGGTGTCTGAACCAACACTGCTCCTTCCAAAAACTCAGCGAGGAGGAGACCCCACCCCAGAGAGTGGCAGCCGCGAGCGCAGGCCGCCTGGCCCCTGGCCCCCCACGCAGGGCTTCCTTCCTGGCAGGGGCAGGGCGGCAGTGCTTCCCGTCGGGTGCTCAAGTACCTGGTACAGAGGCTGAGTCCCAGGCAGGCATGGTCAAGACACGGGGACCCCCTGCTTCGATCCGGCCCCATTCGTGAAGAGGACGTGTCCTGGCCCTGGTCCAGGACACAGCAGTTCTACGCCAAGAAAGGCAAGCCGGGAAGACCCCCCACTGCTGCCGCCCCCACCCCACCGCCACCCAGGACCCGGCTCCCGAACAAAGCGCTTGCCACTCTTCCCACCCCCAGCTCCTGAGCCCTGGCTCAAAGGTTTGGCTGAGGGGACAGGATGAGAAGGCAAGGCAGGCATGAAACTGCTCCTAATCTCTTACCAAGTGATCTTCACTTGAAGCAGAATTTAATGAAGTTACACCCTACTGTGAAGGCTGTGTAGTTTGTGAGAGCAGGCCAGGATATAAGAGGCTGAAAGGGGCTTTCTTTCTGTGGTCAGAACAAATATCAGACACTGATCTCAGAAGGTATCGCTCCAAGGAACCACAATTCCATTGGATTGGCCTGGAGAACACCTTGAGCCCCAGGGCACAGTTAAAAACAACAGGCCGAAGTCAGAGACTTAATCCAGCAGAGGGTGGGCTTCTCTACAACAGCGCAGGCCACCACTAGAAACAAATAACCAACCCGGGAGAGAGGGGCCAGGACCTGGCATTGCTATGACACATTATCTAAACTAGTTGGTTTCCAACAAAAACTAAGAGGCACGCAAAGAAATAGAAAAGCTCAACCAAGAAGGCGGAAAAAAACCAGGCAACACAAACTGCCAGTGCAAGTGACCAGCTGTTAGGTTCTATAAAAAGACCTCAAAGACTTCAACATAGCTATTGTAAATCTGTTCACAAAAATTGTAATAAAGTTTAATTAAAAAAAGAACCAGGTGGGAATTCTGGAGTTGAAGGGTACAATAATGGAATAAAAAAAAAAATTCACCAAGAGGGCTTTCGACAGTAGATATGAACTGGCAGAAGAAAAGAATCAGTGAATTTGAAGATTCTCGGCTCAACAGAGGTTATGCAAATCGAAGAATAATGAGGAAAAAAAGAATGAAGAAATGGGCTTCAGAGAAATGTAGGACACCATTACGTACTTCAACATACACATAGTGGGAGTGCCTGGGGAAGGGGAAGAAAGAGGGATAGAGGACGAGCAGAAAAAAATATGCAAAGAAATGACCCACGTAGCCAGTAAGCCCCAATGACACGAATGATATGATTCATTTATATGAAAATCCAGAATAGAGACAGAAAGTACCCCAGTGGCTGCTTAGGGCTGGGGGTGGCATGTGGGTTAGGACGACGAGAGCTGACGGGTACGGGCTGTTCTTCTGAGGTGATATCACTGCCCTAAGGTTGACCGTGACGACGGCTGCACATATCTGTGAATACACTAAAAAACACCGCGCTGCAAGCTTTACATAGGTCAATTGCGTGGCATATGAATTATATTGCCATAAAGCCGTCTAAGAAAAGACCCAACCCAGTTACCCAGAAATAATTTTTCTTGTCATAGCTTTGATTTGTAAATGCTGGGTTAAACTACCTGATTAAATAAGAAACAAAATTATAAATAACAAAGCTCCGTTAAAATAACCTATAGACCCTTGGAAGGCTACGAAAAGCAAGTATTTATTAAATGGCTGCCATAACTGGTACTGACTGTACACTTACAGTAGGTCCCCCATACCTGTGGTTCCACTTTCCATGGTCTCAGTGAGCTGCAGTCAACTGTGATCCAAAAATACTAAATAAACAACCGATAAGTTTTCAATCGTGCACTGCTCTGAGTAGTGGGATAAGATCTTGTGCTGTCTTGCTCCATCTTGCCAGGGACGGGAATCACCCCTTTGTCCGGCATTTACACACTGTAGGTGCTCCGTCTCGGTTACCGGCCAGACTGAGGAGGTGCTGCAGCGCTTGCATTCAGGTGACTCTTACTTTACTTAATAATGGTCCCGAAGGAAGAGAGTCGTGATGCTGGCAAATTGGCAAATCAAACATGCCAAAAGGAAGCCATAAAGTGCTTCCTGAAAGTCAAAAGGTGAAAGTTATTGACTTAGTAAGGAAAGAAAAAAAATCGTATCCTGTGGTTGCTAAGATCTATAGTAAGAATCTTCTATGTGTGAGGTTGTTTAGAAGGAAGAAGAAATTTATACCAATTTTGCAGTCACACCTCAAACTGCAAGATACAGCCACAGTGCGTGGTAAGTGGTTAGTTAAGATAGAAAAGACATTAAACTCTATCACAGGTGTGTATGTATAGGAAAACAACAGTATATATGGTGTTTGGTGCTATGTGCAGTTTCAGGCACCCCTGGCGGGGACTACTGGATTTGCTCACTTAATCCTTCCAGCAATGCCCAAACTATAGGCACAGGGGACATAAGGAAACAGTTTGAGAGGCCTCACAAGTATCAGACACTGAGGCCAATACAGAAAACTACATTAGTCTTCTGAGGCTGCCACAAAAGATGCCACCACAGAAGGGGTGGCTTAAAAAACAGAAATTTATTTTCTCACAGCTTCAGAGGCTCAAAATCCAAGATCAAAACACCAGAACAGCTGGTTTCTAGTGCGGTCTCGCTCCTTGCCTTGGAGACAGCCACATTTTTGCTGTATCCTCTCACGACTTTTTTTTGCTACACAGACTCCTGATGTGTTCCTCTT